GATTACAAAATATGCGAGCTTCACATGATTATTACGTAATGAGTGTAAGTTGAATGAAATATTTAAGATTTAGTATAACACTTTCACTGGCTCGGTGTCTGATACAATCGAATAGATGCTTTCATTTTATTTTCGTCGTATTCTAAATCTTGAATTCCATCATTCCTTCATGAATACTTTTACGTTTCATTCATAACGTTTAATATCATAGTGGCTTCTATTAGTTCGACCATGATATACTATTCAGCTTGTTAATTTTATCTCTTTGTATATTAATATGATATTAGACGGTTAGTTAACTGTTAGGATATTCATCAAATATCCTAAGAGAATTATTTTAATTCTATTGGTCAATTCCTATTGGTTAATTCCTATTGGTCATCCTAACTATCGATGTCACATACTTCAAATATTGTTTCCTGTTCGACCTAACTGTATAAATATGCATTATCTGTAACGTTTTATGGTCCGGATCCTTAGATCTGAGATCCTTATGCCTCTTGTGGACTCGGACCTCATATTTCCTGGATGTTTGTAAAATACACTTTCTACTTCATATCAAGTCTTCTAGTTAGTGGAACTTGGGACCCTCGGATTAGAATAGCCTATCGTGTCGCCGAATCATCGATCCTCGCTCTCGTTTACCGACTAAGGGAAACTCGTATTAGTTTCGAGCATATCAATTGACGTGGTGATGTGCGTTCGTAACAAGTTGGCGATGGGAATGGGATCACATCGATCTCTCGAGACTTGAATTATTACCCGAGCAGCAGCTGAACTAATGAAGATGTTGATAGAGATACCAAACTGCATCGTGACATGACTATGGTTCAGAATGATGGATTAAGTCAGTCTGACTTTCGTGTAGTGCAATTGTCAACTAACCAAAGCAGATGTTCCCTCCGTGCTACACCCAGTCCACCTCACTTCAGCTCAATCCGACAGCTGCCGATCTAAATTTACTCGGCTTAGATTGGTCTAACCAGCTAACATTAACAGATGTCCCGTTAATACCGTATGCCTCCCAGTATCGCAACTACATCACCCTGACACATATCAGAATAAGAAGCTCATTAACGCAGATTTTTTGCTAAACTCTACTTTGATTAAGACTAAATAACTTTTACCGGTTAATTAAAAACATGATACGAAACCATCTTTAACTTCTTCTTAATACACAAGTGTTTAACGATTATATTCTAGTTCTAAAGAGATAATCAAAAGTCGTAGCTTACATTTTGTGTAATTATACAATCAATCTTATTTCAATCTATTCAAATTGACATTTGAGTTGAATTTCTATCTCTCTCTCTCTCTCTCATATTTATTTTATGTGTAGATTAACAGAAGTTTATGGCAGCAATGAACATACTAGTGGTTATGCTTGGTGTCCAAATACACATGTTGAAGATGGTCTACGTGAATGGATTCAAGCGGAATTTTCACATTTAGTTATTATTAGTGTGATATTTACAGCTGGACGTGGTGATGGAAATGTGAGTTTTTAATTTTGCTTACATTTATTCACTTTTCACCTTCAGTATATATATATATATATATATATATATATATATATATGTATATATATATATATATATGGCTTAGGCGAGATATCTGTCTGCTAACCAAAGGACGAATGTACTGTGCAGTTGTTCGCTCCATCCTACTTTATGGTTGTGAAACATGGCCAGTCAGAGTAGAAGATATTCGTAGGGTACTACTGGTTTTCGATCATAGGTGTCTTTGAGGCATTGCTCATGTATCCTGCTGAGACAACCGAGTAAGCAATACTGTTGTTAGGGTACGGGTACTAGGTATGGATGGCAAATCAATAGATGAAGTATTGAAACACCATCAGGTGAGGTGGTTGCAACATGTGTTATGTATGCCTAACCGCCGACTGTCATGACGAGCAATGCAGTCTGATGTAGGAGTAGAGTGGAAGGAAGCTAGGGGCGGCCGAACCAAACCGTGGTACAAATCCATGAAGTCACTGACAAGTGGATTGAGTCATGTTGGTAGTTGTCGACTACCGCGAGATGATAGTAACTGATGGTTAGAGACCTTGAACAACATGGCTCAGAACCGTTTTCAATGACGCAGGTGCATCCACTCTTTGTGTTCTCTGAAATTCTAACCTTTCTGGATTCGTCAGCACCTCTAGTTTTGTCTTTCTAAATTTACCTCACTGAATTATACTCCTCGAATCATATCTTCAAATCCTAATCTTCTCCATTACCGGTAGTACTTCTACTCTACCTCTACTACTATGGGATTTGAATTGACAATTATATCTGTGTGCTAACGTGGTATGGCAACTTGAACTGATATACATACGTACGTACGAAGTTTTATGTTGTAACTAACTGACTAATATAATACACCCTTGATATATATAACCAATATACTTGACATATATTGAATCAATTAAAAACGAAAACATTACATTGAATACTCTATTTGCATACCATCTTTGAGTCGTGACTTCCAACACTCCATCCTTCTTCCATTCCTTCTGTTGCTTCCTTTCCTTCCTCTGTTGGTACTCCATTTACTTCTTGCTTCTGCTCCATTTGCTTTCCGTTTTCCTCTTTTGACCGTGAGACTTGTTCTTTCACATCCCTTCTTATACTACTTATATCGTTCGTATAAGTAGCACACACCACATATATATAGATGTACTCATACATGTACACATACATAGTAACAATGAACTATCATAGAAAAAAACGAATTAATTATGAAACAGTTTATTCATTTTCGAAATGTTTCGATAAATTATTATGCATGTAAAACCAATCAATGTATTTCATGCTGTGAATATTTCTATTGTATTAGTAGTAGTAGTAAAGTGTGTCATTGTATTTTTGTTGTTGTTAAGGTGTTGTTTCTGTTAACAGCTTTCTACTCATTATTATGATTATTATATCATTGTGGTTGTTGTCAAGTCTCATGAGATAGATACTACACACACACACATGAATAAAGCAGTCAGTGAGTGATTAAAACAACTCTATAATCAGCATGAGAAAGAGAAAGAAAACAGGCTTTTTTTAAAAAAAAATTGAATCTGTGACAAAGTGTTGTTTGTATGTGTGTAGGTTAACATGATGATTTACGGATACATAAGTTGTTTATTGGTCTCAGTGATAGTATTCGTAGTGTATAGGTTTTTTCTTTTTTTATTGAGATTTTTTTTCAAAAGAAACGTTCATATTCGTAATCAGTAGAGTGTGAGTAAAGTTTTCCTCGCTATAGATTCTAGCTGGACCGTAACTAATAGCTTAACATGGTGATCGGGTTTGCTTATCGTGATAACCCAAGCGAGCTATATTGGCTGGAACATATGTTCCTTTAGGTCCTAACATACCAGCCAGACAGGTTGATTGGAGAACGGTAAGACTAAAAGCAGCAACTTAAGGTTTGAGGGTGAAGTCGTACTGTGATGATTGTAGAGGAATGTGACAGCAGTAGGGTGTTTCCCTCAGACAACCAGCATCTGCGGCGATGCTGCCTTCTCACAAGGAAGAAAAGGGTTAGAAATCGTCGACCTTAAAAATGTCACACCTCACCTTACTTCATGGATTTAACCCCGTCGGGGCTGGCTGTGGAGCTCACGATATTGCTGCGCCGTGCGCTGCCGAGTATGGATGGGGAGTCGGGGGCACAGTTGTTGGCGTCGCAATTTATCGAGAGTGTGCCTGCCGCCGTGTCCCAGCAGCGGGAACTAGTAAACGCTACACGTTGGATAGATGCCGTATCCATTCCAGACCAGCGCGCAAGAACGATGACCGAAGTGGTAATCCGGCATATTGTAGCGTGTCACGGAATACGGAAGGTGATATTAACTGACCAGGGTCCCTGTTTTGAAAGTGACGAGTTTAAAGCCCGTCTAAAGCAGTTTGGCATCAAGAGGATACGAACCACACCGTATCATCCGCAGATAAACGGGCTTACAGAGAGAAACAGCCGGACGTTAAAGGAATGGTTAGCATCTAAAGGAGGAGATTGGGAGAAAGAGTTACCATTGATTTTGCTGATCCCAAAGTGTGAAGGACCGTGCGTTATCACGGAGAGACGCGGCGCGGTTTACACGATCCGGAGAGAATACAAGCAGAAGCGCGTAAATGCTAGTCAACTGCAGAGATGGTTTCAAGATTATCAAGTGTATGAGTCACGAAAAGCAACAAAGATGACAACGGCACGGCAATCAGAAAGACTACGACGAGTGTGGTGCGCGCTACTTATAAGTAGTATATGACGCGAGTGAAAACGTAATGTCTGGCAGCAGAAGATGGAGGAAGATCAAGAAAGGAAGAGTGGGAACACAATGGAATTTGTATGAAACGCATGAATAGTGAAATGTCAGACAATGGATTGATGATGGATTGAAGATTTGCAAATTAACCGTTTACGATATAGTTTTCCTATTTTACTGAGTAACTCTGTAATTTTCGTTGAATACAATTCGGTTGCCCTCACCTGGGATTAAGCCCATTTTAAGAGCGGAGCTAACACCCTGAATGACATGGCTCAAAGCCGTTTGCAATGGTGCAGGTGCATTCATTCCCTGTGTTCTCTCAAATCCCAATCTTCTGAATTCCTTATCGCCTTTATCTTTTTCTTTTTAAGCTTATTTCAGTAGATTATACTTCTTGAATAATATCTTCTAATCCTAATCTCTCCGATTACTGCTAATACCTTTACTACCTCTACTACTATGGGATTTGAATTGACAATTATATCTCTGTGCTAATGTAGTATGGCAACATGAACTAATGTACGTACGTACGTACGAAGTTCTACGTTTCTGTTGATTGATTGATTAATCAACTGACTTATACATTGTTGCCTTCCATCTGAGTTCGATCACTACGAATTATTGTTTGCGTCATTTACTGGCTTATCGAGTTTTCGATAAAATTTCATTCCGTTCAGATTTATTTCAATTAATACTGAATAGTAATTACCTTTAAATATAAAACTAACCAAATTCATAGTTTGAAAAAAAAGAGACTCAATCTAATCGTGATAATAATAATAATAATAATAATAATAATAATAATAATAATAATAGTGTATTGTTGAATAGACTTGAAACGGAAGTAGCCATAATTATTACCACTAATGTAAAATCTATTTCCCTTCTCTTATTCCCATATAATATATATTGTACACGTAAATCAGGTGTAAAATTATGTTTCTCTGTGATATTTCTGTTTTTTTTGCTTCGTTTTTTTTCGTCAGACGACAATAAATACTAGACAGGAAAGCTATAAATTTTTCAAACATTTCTTTTTTTTAAAAAAGAAACATATGTTTTATATGAAATGTATTTACATACATTCATGGGTAAATGTGTCTGTGTATGCATTAGGAGGACATATTCGATTATTACATATTGTATTCTGCTTGATTTTGATTCGTTGACGAATGACATGCAGACTATGTGTAAACGTGTGCAAACGTTTAATCGGCTCAGTGGTCCACAGGTTAGGCGTTCATGCTCAAGACCGAAGGTCCTGGTTTCGAACTCCATGAGATGTAGGAGTCGTAGATGCACACTATCACTGATGATGAGTCCCAGGATGAAACGGTTATCCAGTGCTTCCAGGTTTTTTTAATGGTGGTATAACTATAATTGATTGATGAATTCAGCGTGTTAAAAAAAACTGATCTCCGTAGGTCTAATTGAAAAAAAAACGCCTAGTCCTCTAGACTAGTACTGGGTCCCTCTAATTCTAGTGAGAAGGCGTGACCAGTGGAGTTCAACCTACTGACAGACAGATACAACGCAGAACTTCGTACGTAAGTAAATCAGTTCAGGTTGCCATGCCCCGTCAGCACAGAGACGCAACTGTCAGTTCAAATCCAAGAGTGATAGCGATAGTAGAAGTATTAGCAGTAATGGAGAAGATTAGGGAGCGAAGATATGATTCGAGAAGTATAATTCAGTGAGATAAATTTAGGAGAAAGATAGAGATTATGAGGAATTCAGAAGCTTAGAATTAGAGAGAACACAAAGAATAAATGCACCGGCGCCATTGCAAACGATTCTGAGCCATGTCATTCAAGGTCTCTAACCATTGGTGACTATCGTCTCGCGTACCCCAACCAGATAGCCTACATCTACCAACATGACTCAGTCCACTTGTCAGTGACTTCATGGATTTATGCCATGTTTTAGTTTGTCCGCCCGTAACTTTCTTCCAAACTACCCCTACACTACAAAACATAGCTCGTCGCGGCAGTCGGTGGTTAGGCATTTGTAATACATGTCCTAACCACCTCAACTGATGAAGTTTTACTACTTCATCTATTGATCTGCCATCCTTACCTAGTACTCGTTTCCTAACGACAGCATTGCTTATACGGTTGTCCCATGATACACGAACAATGCTTCGGAGACATCGATGATCGAAGACTAGTACCCACGAATGTCCTCTACTCTTAACGGCTAAATCTCGCATCCGTACAGTAGGACGGAGCGAACTGCTGCACAGTACACTCCTCCTTTGGTTATCAAACGGATATCTCGCCTGCGCCATAGGTGACGTAAGTTGGCATAAGCCAATCGAGCCTTTTGTATCCGAGATGAGATTTCGTCAGTCACCAGGCTATCAGCACTGATGAGACTCCCGAGATAAGTGAAGCGGTCTACACGTTCGACTACTTCACTCCCTATCACTAGTTCAGATGCCGATGCAGATGCTGGTTGTCCGAGGGAAACACCTTAGTGCTATCACACCCCTCTGCAGTCAGCAGTACGACTTCGCCCTCAGACCTTGGGTAGCTGTTTTTAGTCTCATCGTTCTCCAATCGACCTGCTTGGCTGACATGGTATAACCTTCAGGAACATATGTTCCAGCCAGTATAGCTTGGTTCGATCATCACGATAGGTAAGCCCGACCACCACGTCAAGGTAGCAGCTACGGTCGGTCAACCTACTGGAGACAATCGGAAAGGTTGCTGTCATCCAACGATGTTTATTGTGTAACTTTGATCAATCTAAGCTATTGCGCAGCCTATATACATACATATCAAATAGACTTTGCAACTTCCAATTTATCTGAAGAAAAAAAACCCATTCTATTCTTGTTTTTATACAACAATTAGAAAAAAAAAACATTTCTCTACCAATTACTGTTTTTTTTTATTTGATAGTAGTAGGTTGATATGTTTCATTATTATCATTATTTTGTTCCTTCGGATCATTATTAGACTGTTAATTCCATAGATAGACAGATAGATAGATAGACAGATAGATAGATAGATAGATACACATGAAAATGAATGAAATTCTGATTGACAATTGTAAATTGTAATTAGTCTAATTTGTCTGAACATTAGCAACAGTAACAACTGTTCATGTCAATGTAAATATAATAAATTAAGAATAGATAGATAGATAAGTTATGTGAATCATTATTATGATTAAAGTTTACACCTTAATTGTGTTGTTTTGACTAGCTAACTAACGAACTAACTAATTAACTAACGCACTAATGGACTGACAGTTTGTTATGCATGCATGTAAACATGTCATTTGGTTAGGGTTGAACTATTACGAGTTCACCTGAGTCAGTAAACGAGAGCGAGGATCGAGGATCCGGCGACATGACATGCTACTCTAATCCGTACGTCCCGAACCTCTATTGAGTAAAAAGAAGAAGACTTGATATGAAGTAGAACATGTATTCTACAAACATCCAGAAAGTACGAGGTCCGAGTCCAGAAAAGAGAATCAGGATTCGGGACTAGGGATCCGGGCTCGGGTGATAAAACGTTATAGATAATGCGTATTTATACAGTTAGGTCAAAAATAGGAAACAACATTGAAGTATATGACATTGATAGTTAGGATGAGCATAATATTGACCAGTAGGAATTGATCAATGAAATTAAACTTCCAGAAATAATTCCCTTAGGATATTGAATGAATATCTTAACATAGTTATCGATTGTTGTAGAAATAAATCAAATCAGAGAGTGTAATTGTTTTGAATTTTGTTAAAATATTCATTGTTTGTTTAAAACTATTGAACCGAAATGGATGGTTTTTCTTAGGAGATCTTTTCTAGAACTTTTGATATAGAGACCTAAGCCACTGGAATGTGGAGCAACTTCAGGTAGTAACCGGTGACTAAACATAGGTTCATATATCCATTGTTCCCTCAGGACTCTAGAGCTCATGTACATCATTTGGTTTTGAATTAAGAATTTCTCATTTCGTTAGATGGATACTTAGTTACGCACTAACTTGGTCTCGATCTCTCTCGTTCATTCGGTTTTAGTCTTTACGATTCCCTGAACCAACACTTACTCCACGAGAAAGTAGTGAGTGAGACTGTCCTAATAGTTTCTATATACGTGTTGTCATTTGAGAGCATTTGGAGAAGAGGAGCAAACTGTCCCCATTCTGTGGCTGACATCTACAGTCATCTTTTATTCGGGTAACCATTTCTACGCTTTTTATAATCTGCATCCATTTTGACCGGCACAGTACATTGAAGTTATTGATAGTGGCTTAAAATCAACATAATTATTTTTACTCCGTTAGTTACTTGCTTACTTGAGCCTGTTACCCTCAATAGAGCATAGATCGCTGTCAATCTTCAGCCTACTCTGTCTTGAACCTTCCTTTCTAGTTGTGTCCGATTTTCGTTCGTTCTTCTCATGTCTGTCTGTCTCCAGTATTCAAGTTAATGTGTTTTTCGGTCTTTCTCTTTTCCTTTGACCTTGAGGGCTCCAACTAAGAGCTTATTTTGTGAGGGGCGCTTTCCGCAATGTGTGTCACATCCAGTTCCGGCGCTTCTTCCTGATTTCTTCCTCCACAGGAATCTATTTTGTTCTATCTTACGGTAAATGGTTGCCGATGGTGTCTGGTCAATGGATCTGAAGTATCTTGTGTAGACAACTGTTAATAGACACCTGTATCTTCTGAATGATGGCTTTAGTAGTTCTTCAAGTTTCCGCCTTATACCAGTAGAACTGTCTTGACCTGTGTACTGAGAATTCTGACTTCAATACATACATGAACTCACCTGTAAGAATCGAACTCAGAACTATCGATCTCACTCACTCACAAACGTCTAACTTCTAAAACCATCGACTTGACATCCAACATTGCCTAACCATTGTCTTCATCATTGGGTAACAACTGCTTTCAAACTGACACAGTTTAACTCAAGTTGTTAAACCATGGCTTTTCATTAAAAAAAATCTCACCTCGAAGATAATAGTCTCAAAATAATTGTCAGTATGTGGTTCTAATAGACATTGTTAAATTTCATTGATAGACATTTGAAACTGTTACAAATCTCTCCTTCCTATTGTGATAATATAATAACTTCAAACGTCATAGTATAATAGTAATATTATTATTATTATTATTATTATTACTATTCATGTATTTATCTATAAGAATTCATTCAACTTCAATTGTTCTGACATGATATGTGTACACGCTCAATATGATATTTATTTAGGAAAATTATGTCATTCTATGTATGCAATTAATATACATCATTATAAATGTGTCATGAGGTCTGTGTTTTTTTTGTTGTTATCTTATGTGAAAATATAACACACAACATAATGAACAGCTATTCATGTGTATTGTTTGTTTGAATGAATGAAATATTGACAATTGATCCATTCATTTTGTAGTTTGAACAATGCTTCTTTTGTTTTTGTTCATTGTTCATTGTTCAATGTGTATATGTATATATATGTATATGCTTTATTAGTTATGATTCATTGATAGATTAGTTTTAGTTGTTCGTTTACAAAGAATTTTGACGGATTATATATATATATATATATATATATATATATATATATATATACACGAAATCTCGGCTCGGATACAGAAGGCTCGATTGGCTTTTGCCAACCTGCGTCACTTATGGCGTAGGCGAGATATCCGTTTCCTGACCAAAGGACGAGTGTACTGCGCAATAGTTCGCTCGGTCTTACTTTATGACTGTGAAACATGGCCAATGAGAGTAGAAGATATTCGTCGGTTATTGGTTATCGATCATAGATGTCTTCGAAGCATTGCTCGTATATCGTGGGACACCCGAGTGAGCAACGCTGTTATTAGGAAACGGGTGCTAGGTAAGAATGGCAGATCAATCGATGAAGTGGTGAAACTTCATCAGTTGAGGTGGTTGAGACATGTTCTGCGTATGCCTAACTACCAACTGCCTCGACGAGCTTTGTTTTGTAGTGTAGGAGTAGGCAGGACGAAGGTTAGGGGTGG